ATTAAAGGCTATGAACAGTACATGAAAATTATAATATTAGGTATATAAATACTGTTGACTAGTAGCTATATCACACATCCCCCATACATATATATCATATATCTAGTACTGTGTGAAAGAACCTTACAATTTAGTTAAAATGGCAACCATAATAGAAAAGGCATATTTTGGTAAATAGCTGCTCAATCTGTGGTACACACATTTGGTTCTCTGGGTTAAATGGCAAGTTGGAAAATTCAGAAGAGGAAGTGGAACATCAACTGGATTTTGTAGACTGAGTGGGAGTTGAAAAATCAGAGAAATTGGAGGAGTGTCTTCTCAGTGTGAAAATGGTGTGACCAAAGACATGGAGGTATGAAAATTCTGTTCATTCAGGATTTTAGGATTTGTCACTAGAGCTAAGTGGGGTCTGAGGGAAGTAAAGGTGGAAGGATAAGGCAGGACTAGAGTATATCAGCAACTGCCTGCCCTAGCCCTACCAAGCAGCAGGTAAGTGAAGATGGGAAACCTGCAAACCCACTTCAGCTCAATGTGTAGGACAGTGAAAGCCAAGTCTGCCAGTGTCTTGGGTGCTTCATCCTCTTACCTTGATGGAGTCTGGGAACAGTCTGTTTCAGAGAGTTCAGAGATTACCCAGCAAACCAGGAGCTATTGTATAGGCCCCTGGAAAAAGGAAGTGCTGTGATTTTAAGATCCATGTGTTCACCACGTGGATTGTCACCATGCCTGTCCCCCAATGTAGGGCATACATTTGGATTGTTTTTCATAACAGGGATGAGGGAGCTAGATATTTTCTTCTCCCTTCACATACACCTACTCAGCAGCTGCCCAACTACCCACTTCTTATGCCCCACTTCTGACATAGTCAGACATCTTCAGGATGCCAGGCTGGTCAAGATAGCAGATGTCACCTCTACTTGTGGGACAGAGGCTAACTATGTAGTCTGTTCAAAAGTGGACACACTTCTGGCCTCTGGCACTGATCAATACCTAATAGAGCACATTGGCTCAGACTCCTTCGTAATTCATGAACATTATTCTCTTGAGCAAGACTGCTTTCCTAGAAAGGACTTTTTTTAGTTAATAAAATACAGGGTGTTTCTGTGGAGACTGCTTTGAAGCTTTGATTAATAAGAGGAACATATCACCAGGAGAACACAGGTCAGGGGTTCTGAAACTGTACCATTCTATGTCCAGATTTCACCTCTCCCATGTAAAATAGGCCTAGTCATTATTTCCTTGCAGGGTTGTTTTAATGATTAGAAATAATATACATAAAGTACCTCAGCAAAGGGTAGACGTTATCAGTTACCACTCACATTTTATATAGGTTTTTCCTCGTGAGTTGGGAGTTTGGTATGTCGCATTGATTCCATGAGATGCTTTTAAATTAAGAAGGTAGCTGCAAAATGGCAACCTCCTCAAGCAGCATTCTTTGTAAGTAGTGACCACATGAAGCTGGCCAGGCATGGGCAGGCCTTGTGAAGACTCCAGCTGACATAATCACTGACAGGAAGCAATCTTTTCATTTTTTTTTGCTGAGGAGGTGGTGCTGATTGCTTGCTTCCATTGGGAAATCAATTTACCGTGCAGCAGATCTTAGAAAGCAGTCTTATGCTATTGCTTTTCTGAAAAAGAGGCATGTTTCTGTTTTTATTAATCATGGAACTGACATAAGACTGGTAGAATTTGTAAGAGAAAATAACCTGTTTGCTCTTCTTATTACCACACCTTCTGCCTTCTAGAAATTAAGAGTAAAGAAAGGATTTTATCTTTCAGTCTGAAAACTATACCCCTTCTGGTTTGAAACAAGCAGCCTCATGTCCTTGGAGACCTGCCATATATGAATTTCTGGAATAAAAGGAATTCTCAGAGATTTTTGTTGGCTGTCATTTTGAAGGCAAAGTAACAGAACCATGGTTCCAGGATATGCCTAAAATAACCATGCATGTAATTTTGGGAGCTAAATGCTTCCTCATTACAAGCTTGACAACATCTCCTTTTTGAAGTAGAAGCCAATGTTGGGTACCATTGGTGTAGAGAATAAGAGGTGTTAGTTCTTTTTTTTTGAGTTAGAGTCTCACTCTGTCACCCAGACTGGAGTACAGTGGCACGCTCCCGGTCACCGCAGCCTCGACCTGCTGGGCTCCAGTGATCCTTCTGCCTCAGCCTTCCAAGTAGCTGGAACTTCAGGTGCGCACTACCATGCCTGGCTAATTTTTTATTTATTGTGGAGATGAGGTTTTGCCAAGTTGCCCAGGCAGATCTCGAACCCGCGGGCTCAGGCAATTCACTCACCTCAGCCTCCCAAAGCGTGGGATTACAGACTGAGCCACCGAGCCCAGTGTTAATTCTATACTGACTTTTCTAACATACACAGAGAGCAGTTCACTTTTATATAGTGAGATACAGTACAAATCTCAATATGAAACAGGTTGAGTAAAGAGACTATTTGATAACTTGTTTTATAAGACAGTTATCTCCAGTTTCCTTAAAGAGCAATCATTCCTCATCCTTTCGAAATTGGTTTGCCCCCCGCCACCTTTTTTTGCACACAACCTTGCAACACACAACACTGATTTTATAATGTGAAGGGTGGCCTTGTGATGGGGCAGTGGTTACCTCCATGCGTGTAGGAGGCAGTAGTGAATTTCGGCCTCTTTTTTTGCCTCTGCTGTGGCTATTTTACACCAATAACCAGGCAACCTCCAGGGGGCAGCATAACACCAAATAAGACCACTGTGCCCTGAGCTGTCAGGCTTCTCTGGGCTTATCGCCCAGCTCTTGTGTATCCTTGGTGCAGCACCCAATCTTTTTAGGCCTTGCCGAGGTGAGGACCTTTGCCCTGAAGCCTCCTGTACCTACTTGGCTTGATTCACGCCTTTCTCCCCAACGCCCTTAAGCCTTCCTGGTCCAATTTGTACCGTATCACATAGCTTAATTGATGGGACTTGTTTGCTTATACCTGTCCTTATGGCAGGAACAATATCTTATGTCTCTCTGTTTCCCATAATGCCAGGGATTCCCTGGAAGTATAAATAAATGCTCAACAACTGATGGAAGATCCGTTAATCTGTAGTGAGCGCTTGATACCTATTTGCTAATTTGATTGTCAAGATGGTCTTGTTTTTGCACAAGAGAAAGTATTGCATTTGCTTTATTTCTGAAATGGTTACATTCTCATATGCCTTCTAGTTTACTCATTCCTGACTGGGGTGAAAAAGAGAACTCTCAAAATTAACCCAGAGGTGTAATGGAAAGTATTAATGTGAAAGTATTAATTTGTATCTTGGTTTTTTCCCCTTCCCTATTGTATTCCTTGGGCAGGTTAATGTCTTAGCCTCAGTTTTCTCATCCATGAAATGGGATAATCTAAGTTGGTCATATAATTTGGAACATATGAACTAGAATACATTTGAGAGTGAAGGATGTTAAAGACCAGAGCTGGACAATAGTTAAAGTAGTAAAAGCAAATTTCATTCAGGAGCTATTGCAACAAGAGGAAAGAGACAATATAGGATTGGTTGAATTCTAAATACAGCATAGATAAGTGGGGTGGGATATGGCCAAGGAGCAGGGGACAATCATTGGGTGAAAAATTATTAAGAGGAAACATCAGGGCATAGGGGATCCTAGTTAAAAAGACCTAACAGTATTCCTGCTAAAGGCAGGCCAGGGTGATCAGATACCAAGAATGGGTGATGAGAAATTTGTCCAGATGTGGCAGGTGATCAGATATCAAAGGTTGGTGGTTCTTTCTAACTGACTTAGCTGTATTATTGCTATAACTGGACAATGCCAGCCCAACAAGGATGGATACCAAAGGTGAGGCCTAGAAGGCTTAGAGAAGCCTGACTAAATGTTAGTCAAGGAGAGTGTCTGTCAAGGAGGACATTTACAAATAATTACAGTCACATAACCTTTTGAAATATTTCTTTATTGATTGATAAGGTGTTGTTTTTTGGGTTTTTTTGACTTGCATACCTACCAAATTGCTTTATTCAAAAATGAGTTTCAAAATAAAATTTCCTCCGAAAAATTAAGATAATACATAAACAGGACAAATGTTAACTTGGTTATAATGCTGAGACAGCAGGTGTAAACCATATGGTGCTGCAGAGAATTAAACAAAGTGATACATGTCAAGTGTCTAGTGTTGAACATACTGTGTACTCAGGAAGTGATTTCCTTTTCCTTCCTGGAAGAAGGCTGGGCAAAGAAGCACTGAGCAGCAGTAAACAAAAACCTATGGGCTTTTAAAATAAACACTGCTGCAAGAATGGTGTGTTCGTGGCTCTCCAGGTCCTGAAAACCCAAGGTGTGAGTTTTGTCTAACTCAAGCAGGAAAATTTGGATTGGAGAATATGGTCCTGCCTCATGTACTCAGGCACCTGTCTCAGCAGTGGAGACCATACCCAGGGATGGCTGTGTAGTTTGGCTGCCCTGCGAGCACAGAACTCTTTTCTTGACTTGAGAATCCACTACTGCTTCTGGGCAACCTGCCTGGCTTTGGCACCCCTCTGCTATACCCAGCTCCTGCCGTTTAGGGGCCTGATCTTAGCAATTGTGTTTAAATAGTGGATTTACCATAAACTTAATTGTCCGTGCTGCAAAACACATACCTGCCTTGAAGATTGGTGTCTGCATGTAGCCAGAAGCTTAATTGCCATTCTGTGATTGAGTTTCCAGGGTTGGACACATCCCTTTCAGAGACTCTAAATTTATTACTTCTCGCCATGTCTGCTGTGAGTGCTATTTTGCTCTAGTAATGAGAGCTCTTTAGCCTTTTTGTTCATTTAACCTAAAGCCCTGCAGAGCTGAGGCTTGAGTTTTCTCCAACTCCTTGTGTGATGGGAGAGTTTAAGGAGTGGCTTGTTGCCTTTTGGAAGAAAGAGGGATACGTGTATGTGAACATCTGCATGTGGCAGGAGAATCAAGCCCAGAAGCTGGTGACATTGCAGGACAATTCTCTCTGCATGGCTCCTAACAACCTCTTCTTTCTCCAGGTATGTGTACATTCCAGTGGGTGGGTCCCAGCATGGCCTGCTGGGGACCCTGTTTTCCACAGCGATGACATTTGCATTTGTAAGCTACTGGCATGGTGGCTACGATTACCTCTGGTGCTGGGCAGCTCTCAACTGGCTGGGAGTCACTGTGGAGAATGGAGTCCGGAGACTTGTGGAAACCCCTTGCATCCAGGACAGTTTGGTAAGCAGGATCCTTGCTCCCGTGGTAGGGGACAGCTAAGCTAAGCAGATTAAGTTTGGGAGGGACAGCATTTGTCAGATTCACCTTTGCACAGGCTGTTCCTGCCAGAATAGTTCAAAGTTCATGTGCTTAGAGGCAGGGCAGCTGGTAAAGAAGCTTTTGTGGCCAATAAATAAATAAATAAAAATTTTAACTATAAAAGCAATACATGTGTATTATATACCGTTGGAAAATTTAGACAAGAAAAATATTTCTTCAGTAGAAACAGTGCTAACACTCATTTTTTCGTAGATGTTTATATGTATATATACACACAAAAGCATATGTATCATTTAGAACAAATGCTGTCATTACAGAGACATTGTGGTATTGGGACCATCTTTCCAAGTCACTGAATTCATGTCTCACAAATCTTTTTAATGACTACATAGAATTCCATTATGTGAATATGCTATAATTTATTTAATTAGGCTTCTATTATTAATAATCATATTATTCCAACTTTTTTGCAACTATCAACTGTATTGAGATGAATACCATAGCCAAGATGAATTCTCATAAATGAAACTGCCACATTAAAGGTTTTTCTCATTTTTAAGGTTCACTATGCATACTGCTTATTGACTCTTAACTGCTCTATAGCCTAAAATGTACTAATGTGTGGGCCTACCAATAGTGTATACAAATGTCCTTGCCAATGTTGAGTAGACCTAGTATTTTTATTCTTTGATAGCTACTGTATATAGTGGCATTAAAAATTAACTAAGAGTTTAAGACACATTTGAACTCTACAGAAAAATGATTTGAAAAATTAATCAAGCATTTCTCTTTACATACATATTTTAAGTGATTTTTAAACAATGGGCACAGATTTTATCTTGCACATTTGGTATATGATATATTAGAATCTTGTTGGAAATCATCATTTCTGAAGATGCAGCAGTATTCCACTAACCTTGAAAAAAATAGCTAAAAAGAAATATATTGGCATCATTGTTCATGACAGGCAATTGTACATAGAAGATTTACTGGAAAAATTATTAATGTGGCTAAATCTCACTCAGTACAGACATCTAAAGCAAATACATTTTAAAAAACCCACCAAAACAGATACATTTGCATGTGTTCTTATGAAGATAGTCATAGTACAAGTAGACAGTTATTTTATTGAAAATGGATGTAAACCACACAGCCAAATAACACATCTGAGGAAATTTAAATATGCTCATGCATGTTTAAAGATAAATATTTTATTCAGTAGTTGTACCCAGCAATCAGAAGAAAGAAATGTCAGTGAATTCTAACAGAAAATAGTATTCATTGAAAGCCATGACTGTGTGTCATACAGAAAACTAAAAAAGATGGTATCATAAAGATTTTAATCTTTAACCTCACATCTGAACATTCTTTTTCACAGCCCAGAAACACCCTTGAAAACCACAGGGTCCTTTCCAGCTCAGTCTGAAGATCTGTAACACATTTCCATGTTCTTTCATGGAGGGTCTAACATTAACCCTGAACTTAATGTTAAGCAGTGTTCTGTGGCCTTTGAACCATAGCTTATGCTGTTAGTAATTTTAAAAAATCTAAAATGTTAAAGCACCCAACTGTGCTATGCAGCCTATGGTTTGTTAATTTTGGTACAAAACAAATCAAGGCAGCAATCGCCCTTGTCACAGGATGAAGCACTTGAATGACCGCCCTGCATCATCACAGCTTGCTCCTGGACACTCACATATTCATCTCACTTGATCTTCCATCTGCAATTCAGGCACCCATGTGCGTAGTTATCTTTTATATGTATTTGTGGTGAAACATTTATCTTGTATGTGGCAAATATGTTCATCTTACACAGTTATTGGACAAGAACATAGTTTATGAAACCTATTTTTCACATCTATCTTTTCTCCTGGAAACCTGGTAGGTGGTTATGGCTGTTTAGATGATGCACTTCTTGAGTACAGGGTGGAAATCCCATTACTCTCATATCCCATTGTTATCTCAGTGTCTGAGTGAGCTTCAGTGTTAAGCCGATGCACAATGAATGCTTCCAAATCGAGTTGATTCTTTAGTTATTTTACCACTCATCCACTCATAGGAACTTCCTTTATTACCCTTTCTTATACAGTTTAGCACAGAATCTGGTTTTGTTTTTTGTTTGTTTTTGGAAAAAGTGACTGGCATTTCAGATGCACACAGCTTTTTGAGTTTTTGAATAAACTGTTTTCCCACTTAGGTTACCTTTCTTTCCTCTTGTTCAATGAATCCATTTCCCATTCTTTTGCCAAAATCCAAACAGAGACTTACTGCCTGCTTAACACCTAGTTTCATCTTACTTTTGACTCCCCAGTTTAAAGAGTAGTATTTTTACAGTGAGTTCACTCTCCATCTTCTTCACATCTTCAGCATTGTTCAGGATTCTCCAGGGAAACAGATCAATAGGATATATGCTTGTGTATATGTCAAGAAATTTAGTAGTTGGAATTAGGCCATGTGATTATGGAGAAGTTCAGACCCAGGAGAGAGAACTGATGGTATAAGGTCCAGTTCAAGTTCACAGGCAAGAGAAGACCAATGGCCTAAGTTAGGACAGTCAGGCTCAAAGACAGATCATTTTTTCTTAGCCTTTTATTCTGTTTAAGCCTTCAATGGATTAGATGAAGCCAACTCACACCAGGGAGAGCAATCTGCTTTATTCAGTCTATTGATTCAAATGTTAATCTCATTCAGAAATACCCTCATTGATACACACATAATGTTTAACCAAATATTTAGGCACTCTGTGGTCCAGTCAAGTTGACAAATAAATTTAACTATCATGGACTTTCTTCATGACATGTATCCTTCATCTATTGTTTTTAAAGATAGATTGACAGATATCAGCATAATGAGAATGTCATTTTTTTCTTTTTCCATATCGTAAACCCCAAGGTTTTGTTAACCCCAAGGCTCAAAATACAATAGGACTCTATTTCTTGGTGTTGATAGACTGAGAGTTGAACATTCACCAGAAGACTTGTCAGAGATGAGCGCCATAAACAGGAAGTCCTCTGATCTTTTAGAATAAGAATGTCTAATAGAACTTTCTGTGATGGTAGGAAATCTCCATTACACTATTCAGTACAGTAGCCACTAGCCACAATGAGCACTTGAAATGTGGCTGGTGCCACTGAGATACTGAATTTTTGATTTATTTAATTTTAATTAATTTAAATCCAAGTAGCCACTATGTGACTAGTGGCCATCATTTTGAACACTGCAGCTCTGGAACATACTCCCTTTCTAGACAACATTAAAAGAATGTAATGTGCCTGATTCTGCTATTTAGGGTAATCTTCATTAGTGGTGTGGCACTTCATGTATCCAACTGGCCACTGAACCTCTTATCCTGGATATTGCACAAGTATAATACTGTACTCATGCATTGCTGCCTCTCAGAAATTCCAGATGACTTCTCCCGCATCAGCACAGTCTATTTCCACAAGTGGCACCATTGTCTATCTTAAGGCTAACCCATTAAGTTATCCTTAGTGCCACCCTCTCCCTCAGATTCATCTGCCTATACTGTACATTCTACCTCCTAAATAGATGTCGAATTTTTTTCTGGTTGTTTCCATTTCTTCTGAAATCATCTGAATCCAGGCTGTTCTCATTTCTTGCCTGGTCACCAAATAGCTTCTAACTAGCCTCACGCTTCCACTTTTTTCCTCTTCCATTCCTTATCCTCATAGTGCTCATAGCGCTGAGCGATGTTTCTCAAAGCCTAACCATGTTGCTTTCTTTAAAAGCCTATGGTGGCTCCCATTTTCTTAGAACCAAGTCCACGATATTTAGAATGATCTCTAAGGCCATGCCTAATTTTTAACTTGGTGCCTCTCCCCAATCCTCCCTGCCTCCCCCACCACTGTTCTTCCTTCTGTTCATTGCATACCTGCACCCCACCCCAACAGCATCTGCACCTCCACACAGCCTCTTTCATCTTTTTGGTTTCTCTCTCTCCTTCTCTTCTATCCTTTACTCATCCTTCAGATTTCGGCTTGAATGATACCTTGTTTGGGAACCCTTCACTGACCCTCCTAACTCAATCAGGGCCTATTTGATAGTTTATTTTGGGCACCTACTATATGTTATCTTCTGTTGTACTTATCACAATTGAAGTGAAATATTTTTAATACAGTAATTTATTTAATTATTCCCTCCCTCACTGAGCTGTAAGACTCATGAGGTCATCGATACTGTATCCTTGACACTTATCTCAATGCCTGGCACAATGCCTTGTTGAGTGAAAGAAAGAAAGAATTCTGTTTGGTGGCTTCATTGAGGGGAGTACAAGAGAAAATAGATTTAAGCAGCAGCATGAAGGATATAGACTGAACACTGGAAAGACTGACTAAGGCTGAGAATTATTGAGCATTGTACCGGGAGATTATTTTATTTTGCAGCAGCATAGATACAAGTAGGTCTAGTGATGGCAAAATGCTGTTTTATGTATATGTAAATACACAATGCACAAAATGTGTATGTATGTATATGTATATATGTATATATATATGAAAGAAAGGGGTAAGAAGGAATTAGCCTTCCTGGTACTCTGCTGCTTTATGAGAGCAAGGATTATATTGGTTGTGACTCACTGAGGTACAGCGCTATAGGAAGCCAACAAAAGGCATTATCACAAAGCACCCAAGCTAGATAGACGTAGAGAAGTTAACTGCTGAAGCAACACACTTTTTCTCTATGCAAGTACTCTCCAGGGAACTAGGACTTGTGTTTGGCATTGAAATCTTTTAATAATTGAAAAGATTTTGAAGCATTGGTAGAGTGACACCACCTCTTGCCAATTCTCAATTTGATCTCTCCTTTGAAGAAATACACCTTCAAGCTGCTTGTCAATTATTCTTACACAAAGGGGAATCTATATCTCAAGCAGCTCACTCATCCTCCCCTACCCCTGAATTCCATTTCATTGAATAATTTAAATATGTTCCCCCTTCTTTACC